AGGCAGTCCAAACAGAGCTTGAGAACAAAAGCCCTAGTGACTTCTGGCAATATTTATGATCTCACTTGCCAAAATTCTTTCATATTTTTGAGTCACTTGAGGCAGAAGGATGGACTTCAGAAGTATCTACTGGCTATGCCCACTACTGCACCACAGAAAATCCTTCTCCATTTCTGCTTCCTAAAATTGACAGTTGCCTAAGCAACCGTGATCAGGACTTATAAACCAGGCAGAGAACATGCACAAGAAGCCCTATCACACATTTATAGTTAAGGGTTGGCACAAAACATACAGATGGTTGTGTCTTCTTTAAAACCTAGCTGACAGAGAAAGAACTGGAACTCTTTTCTCCCAGCAGTGAAAAGCAAAACACAGGCTGCAGGCTCAACTTCTTCCTTCAGTTGAAAAGATTCAAGTGTGCCTCTTCTATTTCCCTACTCTTCGGCCTTCAAATTACACTGGTGTAGGCCCACTTCCACCTCCCCCTCTACAGCAGCAAATTTACTTCGCAGGCAACATTTCACAATTAATTGGTTCAAAAGATGAAAAGGAAGACGCTTTTGCAGTGAGTCAGTGAGGCAGTCACCTGGCAGAAGAAACACTGTGAAAAACACAGTGCAAGGAAAGCTTGTGTGCTCTATGTCACTTGTGTATTGGATACAAGACTGACGTGGCTGGCCCTTGAAGAACTTCAAATATTCCAAGATCCTTTTACTTTAGAGGGACGACTAAACACTGCATCATTGTAGCATAAAAGAAATCCCTGCACAGAGAACTTTTTCTACTCAGTTGCTCAAGGACAGAATGGAGACAAAATAATCAGTGCTGACTCATGGTATTTTCAACAAAACTAAAAAGAGGTGAAGGATCCAAAGGTATATCTACCTTGCTAAAAGAGTTATCATAGAATCACAAAATGGGGTTGGAAGGGACCCCAAAAATCATCAAAGTTCCAACCCCTCTGGGACAGGCAGGACCACCGACCTCCAGATCTAATACTAGACCTGGTTGCCCAGGGCCCCATTCAACGTGGCCTTGAACACCTCCAGGGACAGAGAATCTATAAGATCTCTGAGCAGCCTGTTCCAGCACCTTACCACTCTCTCTCTCTCTAAAGAACTTCCCCCTGACATCCAATCTAAACCTTCCCTCCTTGAGCTTAAAACCATTCCCCCTTGTCCTATCCTAGTTCACCCCTGTATAAAGTTGATTCTCCTCCTGTTTATAATCCCCTGTAAGGCTGCAATAAGGTCTCCTTGCAGACTTCTCTTCTCCAGGCTGAACAAGTCCAGTTCCTCCAGCCCATATTCATAGGGGAGGTGCTCCAGACTTCTGATCATCCTTGCAGCCCTCCTTTGAACCCTCTTTACATCTTTCCTGTACTGGGGGCCCCAGAAATGGTTGCAGTACTCCAGATAGGCCCTCACAAGGGCACAGTAGAGAGGAACAATCACAATCACCTCCCTGTCCCTACTGGCCACTCCTCTTCTGATGGAATCAAGGATACTACTGGTCTTCTGAGCTGCAAGAGCATGCTGCTGGCTCATGTTCAGTTTTTCATGCACCAGGATCCCAGGTTCTTTTCCGCAGGGCTACTCTCAAGGAATTCTTCTCCCAGTCTGTATTCGTATCTAGCATTACTTCGACCCGAGTGCAAAACTCTTGTACTTTGCTATGTTGAACCTCATTAGGTTCACATGGGCCCACCTTTTGAGTCTGTTGAGGTCCCTGTGAATGGCATCTCTTCCTTCCATTGTGTCAACCGCACTGCTCAGCTTGGTGTCATCAGCAAACTTGCTGAAGATGCACTCAAGCCTGTCATCAATGTCATTGATGAAGACGTTGAAGAGCACCAGTCCTAAGACAGACGCCTGGGTGACACTGCTCATCAATGGCCTCCACCTGGACACACTGCCATTCACCACAACCCTCCGTCTACAGCCTCCCAACCTTATCCACCAAGTACTCCACCCCTCCAATTCATATCACTCCAATTTAGAAATAAAGATGTGGGGCAGGGTGGGGAAAGATGTCAAAGGCTTTGCACAAGTCCAGGTAGATGACATCGGTCACCTTCCCTTTGTCCAGCGATGTCATCACTCCAACACAGAAGGCCACCAGATTGGTCAGGCATGACCTTCCCTTGATAAGGCTATGCTGGCTCTCTCGGATCACCTGCTCATCTCTCATGTGCTTAATGAGTCTTTTAGAGGGATCTGTTCCACAATATTCCCAGGCACAGAGGTGAGGCTCACTGGTCTGTAGTTCCCTGGGTCATCCTTTTTTGTAAATGAGAGTGACATTCCCCATTTTTCGCTTCCTGGAGACTTCGCCTGACAGCCGTGGCATTTCAAATATGACAGAGAGCAACTCAGCAACCACATCAGCCAGCTCCTTTAGGATCCTGGGATGAATGTCATCTGGTCCCATACACTTGTATATATTCAGTCTCATGAGGCGGTCTCAGACCAAGCCTCCTGATAAGCCTGTTACCAAGGCTTATCAGGATTTCTTTCACAAAATATCTTCACGTGAAAGTGCTGACTGTGTAAAGTAAAATTTCCACAGAGAAGCACTTTTGATCATCAACCAGTTTTGATTAAATTTTTAATGGAAACATTTGTCCAATCAGATTTCTCTGGTCTTGGATCTTAGTTGAAACCAGTGCGCAGGAGCATTAAACCAAACTGTTAGAGAAGTTGCCTTTAGCATTCATGCTCAGATCACTTGTGCTCTTCATTATCCAGTCCAGGGAATATTTAACTTCGGGAGCTGCTCCTATTTTGTTATGTTGGTCCACAATGTCAGACGCAGATGTTGGTGGTATGGCGGTAGAGGCTGAACCTTCTCACCAACATTGTTATATTTTATTGCCCTGAGACAGACGGCAGCAGAGGGACAGTCTGGCAAAAATGACATGGAAGTGCGTATAAAGCAAAAGTGTGTGATTGAACACCTCCACGCAGAAAAAAATTGCACCTATTGATATTCACTGACACTTGCTGAATGCTTATGGAGACCAAACAGTGTATGTGAGTACAGTGAGGTGGTAGGTGGCGCATTTCAGCAGTGGTGACAGAAATGTGAAAGACAAGCCACCTTCCAGACAGCCATGTAGATTTTTATGAGCATGGCATGCAGCTCTTGTTCATCACCCTATGACCTTTAAGGTCTTTTCCAATTGGAGTGATCACCAGTGAAAATGCATAGCTAATGGTAGCATTAGTGTTTTGCAGCTGAGAATTTGCTCTATCAAATAGTGTTCTTTTTATACCTGTTGTAGTTTCCATGGAAATAAATAGGAGGCATTACTTTTAGAGTGACCAATGTATTAGATAACATGAAATTGCTACAGCTGGACACCCTCTACTACATACAAATTAGTATTGCACAGCATAATACATTTGAACCCTTTGTGATGAGGCCCTATACATGTTTTCATAGGTTTGAATTCAGACTAGCTTTATTCTAGTTTTCTGGGCTGGGCCCTCATGAGAGGCTAGAACACAGTCTACCTATATTCCAGGTGTGTACCTTTTAATTTTGATCCAACAGAATACAAGTTTGCACACTGACATTGCTCTGCGAAGTGAATTAGAGAATTCCCTTAAATAGGAAATAACCAGGGGATTTGATGAAGGAGGTGCCATCATGCTGTGAACTAAAGTGTTAATGCAAACTGAGCTGTGTGTGAGCCCAGCTATACTGTTCTCAGAGCAAAAGCACGAACCCAAGCATTCCCAGGCAAGCACCGTACTCAAGAAGATATTCTAGAACTTATCTCAATTTCTGTCAGAAAGCTTCAGGGGCTTCACATGTGATTCCAAAACAAAAGAGAAACAACTCTTAGAGCTCCCATATTTTCACAAGAGAGAACTTTCATTTCTCTGGCTAACTCAGCTCTTACTGCTATATTACTATTTATACCAAATACCATGGAAGACAGAAAACCAATGTTACGAACTCCTACAACAGTCTCCATTTCTTTTTAAATTGCAGTGCTGGAGGCATATGATTATGTAAGAATCTTGGTTTTCATTAAAAAAAAAAAAAAAAAAGTAGAACAAAAAATTCTTCCCCTGCAGAGAAAAACTTGAAAATGTGTCCTTTAAAAGAACAAAAGCCAGAAGGCCAACAGAAAGAAATTAAGTTTATTTCTTCTAAGATCTCAGCTGTTTCAAGGCAGTCTCATGAATGTGATGGATGAATTATTCCTTTTGGATTATTTGTTTAAGAATAAGATTCCCTCACAGTTTTATATCTACGTCCTTCACTCATTATAGACGACACGTCTGGTCTCTCTTTGTTAGTTAGAATTAGTTGGCACGCTCTTAGCACTGTACAAAGATAAAGTGCTTTGCCTTTAACAGCTCCAGATTGCCTGGAAGCATCTGACTTCTTGTCCAACCCACTCGTACTGCAGCAATGACAAGGTAGGTCCTTGTGAAAGTGTGGTGTTAGAGTTGCCTGAAGTGCAGCAGGGCTCAGTTTAAACCTGAATATCTGCTTGCATGTATTCAGTACAGTTAATGAAAAGAGTCTCAGCATCTTCTTAGATTTAGAGCCACACCTGAGTGAAAAACATCCCAAGGAAGCTCATCTCCACTAGCAGAGCCTCTGAATTTGTTTCGGCACATAAATAACCAGACTCCCTTGTCCCTGGCTTTCTTGCTAAAGAGTGGAGTTTTTGCCATGAGGTAGTATTTCTAATTTGGTAAGTATTAATAATTTCATATATGTAGCCAGTAAGCAGAACTGACTGACTGCCAATTTGATGCAGAATTTGAATAAGCTCTCTAACACTTCCTTTAAAAAAGAGTAAGCTTTCTGTAATGATAGTACTGAGTTGTACCCCAGCTTACACATAACAGAGAAGACAACCTCAGTGGTTATGACACATTACTACAGGGAAAACTATAAAGGATTTCCATTTGTTGGGCTTTATTAGGCTAATTATATAGTATTTCCCAGGTTACATGCAACATACAAATTCCACTTACCAAAGCTTTTCCTTCATTATTACCTTCTGGATAGTGTGGGTTAAGCTGGAAAAGAAAAGAAGTTAAAAACTATCTTGACAGTTCTCAAATATTTCAGAACTTTGGGAGAGGGACTGGTTCAGTTCTTTATTACGTATTCATCCTGCAAAAGAATTACGGAGTATTTAGAACTAGCATAGCAATTAGAGTATGAAAATTAGCAATTTAATTTATGGTCGACTTACTGGCTGTGTCCTCACATCAGAAAAGTGAATCTTACAATCAAGCTTGTTAAAAGACTTTCAAATAATAATTAAAAAAAAAAGAATGATGGAGAGAAAGTGCAGTTACTATTCTAAATATAGCAAATTACGGTCACCCCTACCAACACAAACACTTATAGGACTGACCTTGAGCAGATGTATTGAGATAAAAATTAACGTTTCGCATCTACTAAGATTTTACAGAACAACAGTTAGCTCTGAATAAATACCTCTTTAAAACAGAAATAGCAATGTCGTCACAGACAAGTGTTTAATTACTCTGTGATTCTGTTTAACCATTATTAAGGTATTTCCTATGTCATACCAGGATTAACAAATATTAATTAATAACTAAAGTAGCATGAGATGCTTGGATGAAAAATTAAATGTAAAGTATTGCTATTTAACAGCATTTAATATGATTTTACTTTTGACAGGGAAAATATGTAGACTAGAAGACGAGGGATTATATAGGAAGACATACACTCAAATAAACAAACACCCACATACTGGCTGCACACAAAATGCTTCCTGATTTGATTTATATAATGAAACACTTCTACCTCAATATTTGCTACAGCCCCTGATGCAGGATATACCTTCAACAGGCTGAAAATGTGGAACCAAAATTATTACTTACAAATGGTTATGTACATCTTACAGGTAAGCACAGTCATTTTCTTGGCATGAATTTGGCATTAACAGCGTGGAAGAGCAAGAAGTGAATTGCACAGGGCAAACTGAATGAATTCCAGTCATACTTTTTAATATTACATTATCATCATCATACATTTAACATTACACGGAAAACTATTATGAGGTATTTTTATCAAGTCTAGAGGGGTTTATTATTACTCTACTGTTCATGTCTCTTTAACAAAAAAAAAAGACATCTCCTCTCCACTTGATAAGCCTCAAGAAAAGAGGAAAACATTTAGATAATCCTAAAATTGCTGAAAATCTCTTTGTTTTCTATCATGATTGGATGTGTTAACACATAAATGGACAAAACGTTATTCTCCTGCCTTCATTTCATTATTCACATTAGCCACTGGGTCACTTTCTGGGTTATCTCAGTTTTGTCACTAAACTCAGCATAGAGAGCTATGCGCTGAGGACTAGATCTTTAGTTGGAATAAATCTGTGATGCTTCATTGAAGGACTTGTGTGAATACAGTTGTCTACTCAGTATGAACTGAGCCCTATGTCTTGCTATTCTTCAACTGTTTGCTCTCAACATAACCATGCTTTAGAAAAAAATATATATCAACAATGAAAGAAACTTTGGAAAATCTCTCTCCTACACCGCTTCTTGCCTACTTGAAAAATGACTGAAGAGATCGCCTTCAGATTTTCAAAATAGTTCACTTGAGGACAGAGGAAGACAGAAGGCTCAAATAAAAAAAAATGAAGTGTATCCTTAATGATGGCTTTTCTTGCCCCGTTGAAACAGAAACAGCAAAACTATAAAGATGTTGTTTAGAGAAAGTTTGAGATGTTGAGGTTAAACAGGTTAAGCAATAAACAGGACAGAATGCAGTTGCAGAGCTGACATTAACGGCCCCCTTTTCAGCTCAGCAGCTGTCATTTTCATTTCAAGCTGAGGTTGTTGGTGTCGAGCATCTGTAAAAATCAGACTATTAGCTGTTATCCTATACTATATTTCTCCAGGTAGAGAGGTGTAAATTATGTAATATTTTCAGTCATATTATACCGAATCCTTTTCAATATCCAAGTACAACAAAATGAGCTATAGACACAGTGATGGCCTTAGCTCTCCAAAATGTATGGCTTTTTCTGATTGGTATAAAATCACCTCTACACTCTTCAATGAACCTCCTAACAAAAGGATCCTTGAAAATAACAACATTAAAGATTGTTCCAACAAAAGAACTCTTGAAAATGAGTTTGTTCCTTGTTGCTAATGAAATCAACTAAAATTCTTAAGAAAGTAAGTAAGAATACCATGCTAAAATGGATCTCATTTAAGCCTAGCAGTCTTCAAGTTCTTTGAGGTCATTGGACTTATTGAAGTTGCAGTGTTCCCAAATTGTACCCAAAATACTGTATATTTCAGTCAATGCATACAAAGAAAATGACACATTGTAAACTGCAGAGTTGAAGCAAGTGTGACTATATAAATCACTGAAGTAATAGCTCAATTTTAAAATTATTTTTAGGGTATATTTCCAACAGCTTTTTTTCTGATGCAGAAATTCTAATTCAGAAATTCTAATCTTCCAAGGCATCTTTTTCAACAAACCTAAAAATAGCCATTGTTTACCTTCTCTTAGACAGAAAAGGAAAAAGAATCATAAAAGAGAGTTCAGCTTCACCACTGCTGATAACAAAACAATATCAAAAACCTTGAAACTCATATTATGGCAAGCTCATGGGACTCACCATATCATCCCAATGTTCATTGACTACGTAAGGCAAGTCAGTAAATGAGAAAATAGCAATGGCTATATGGTGGTAAGGAGGGTGCAATCTGCATCAAGTAATGTAGATTGCACTAGTAGAGCATAATTAGGAAAGAACAAAGGAAAATTCACATTAGTGAAGAAATGAAATGGCCACATGACAAAACGCGATGGAAGCAGTGTGGCTTAAATATTACTCCTGAATAACTGGGTCAAGGTGAGCGACTGCATTTTTGCCCGTCATTCACCCCACTGCCATGTAAAAGGCAAGCCCTATTACATGGATTTTACAGTTGGGCAAGGCTAATATAACCAGCTGTCAAAGCTCAAATGACAATGATTCACGGCACCATAGATATTTGGTCTTTTTCATTTGTTTATAAATACAAACACAGATTGAACTCTGCACATCCTCCAGACCACACAGTCCCTTGAACTCCAGAAAATGGGTTTACCACATTACCTTTTATGGTTTAACATATATGGACCAACAGTGAACACTGACTTATGTGCTACACAAGGTTTTTCTTATGACGAGGCCCTATCAACAGTAGTTATGGTAAGTAAGTGCAAATGCAGTTTCACTGTAGAGCACACAGGAAATATCTGGGAACTAAATTTGTTTTGGACTGACTCTACTGGGGAAGAGAGCTTGGAAGTGACCTAGCAAACTTATCAGCAAACAAAGACAGTCAATACCCTGAGAAAGCTCCCACAACCACACAACATCATATTTCAAACACTAAAACTATTGACTACTTTGGCATTTTTAAAAATGATCATCATGCTGCAAACTCTGCATAGGAGAAAGATACAACTTTCAATTGTATGTGTTTGTGTGTTACTTTTGGTAGTCACTGCTCAGTAAATGCACGTGCCCAGTTAATCCTGAGAAGTATCCTGTTAAATCAAGTGCTACAAGTCCCAGGCTCTGTTAATTCCACCGATTACTGAAGGTGGTTAAATTTTAAATTCTTAAGTTTTTCAATACTACAACTTCACACTGCATAATGTCCTGAGATTCCACTACTGAGTAGAACAACTTCTTATTAATATGCTATTCTTGTTTTTTTGTTGCTGATTTTTTGGTTGATCGGTTAGTTGGTGGTTGGTTTGGTTTGCATCTACACATAGTAAAACATGTCTTACAGTTCAGCAAGGAATTAAAAATCTCAGTCCATGCTGTAGACAAACAACTTAGAATTTTGCTTTTACATGGGATGCTATCTTCTTAGGCAGAGGAATGCGTAGAAAGTACCCAAAAAAGCTATTTTCAGACACTTGTTTAATTAAGAAAGAGAGGAAAGTTTGGAGAAAAGTACTCATGCTTATTTTAATCACATTTTGTTGACTAAGTAAAGGATATTTAAAATAACTCGTCAAGGAAATAATTAGACTGTCAAATTTCAGCTAATAGAGTATTTTAATTACTTGATTAAAACCAGTATTAGTCAAAGAATTAAAGGTTCTAATTCAACACATAAAAACAGTTTCCATTCCATTTGATAACTAGCTTGTTAACACAGAGCCTGTTACTTGATCAGTGAGGTCAAGTGGTTTGAGGGCAAAAAGCCACCACAAAAGAAAAAATAAAAAACAACTTCTCAAATCTTTCTTCTTCATTAGACTTACTTGGTTCTTTGTTATGTCATAATGATTAGCTTTCAATAAATCCAAAGGAGTTTTGCACAATTTCAAAGACTTCAGTGATATTCAAAGAACTCTTGCCATCCTATTAACTTGCTGGAGAAAGAGTGGCTACAGCTCTACCTAGATATTCCATTCAGTACAGCCACAGCATCTGGCACAAGGCTCCTGATAATCATCATGTGAGGAAAGTTTAAAACCTGAAAAGGCCATTTATTTCAGGATTTATTTTGCTGCTGTTTTGCTTACAAGCCCTGCCTTAGTAGATCAGACAAGTTTCCAGGCAGCACTCAGAGAGCTGAATCTTTCTATTGGCTTCAGGCACAAGCCAAGTTAAGGGGCCACAGACAGTGCTGGGAACCCCCTGTGAGGGTGAACTATCTGCTAGTCAAAAAGGGGAAAGAGAATCAGCTTTGACACCTTCCTGACCCAACTGTTCACCCTTGTTGTAAAGAAGAAAGGATAGGTCATCTTGAAGGCATTTTTAGTGCTACAGCAATGGAAGGCCAATGCTTATGGTATGCCTAATTCACAACTGATTTAAAGTCACATGCCAGTGGCAAAAACTAGAGCTGTCTAGGAATGTATTTCTACTTCAGGCCAGGAGAGATTACTGGCTGGGAAATCCCTTTGCTTCTACCAAGATTAAGGGTAGAGAACATGATGCTTAGCCCCACATAGCAACATCCCACTCTGCAAAGGAATTAGGAAGGAAGAAAAGTATGTAAAAGAT